GAAAATTAATGTTCCAACCCTTTTAATTGACACGAAGCCTTGTTTTTTCACGTAGTGTCGCAGGATGGAGGAGTTAACGAGTTACGGAGTTAACGCCGAGCGAGTGAAACTGGCCCCGCAAGAGTGAGTGCAACGAAGTGAGTGCACCTTGATCCAAATGTGGCATACATATGGTGTGAAAGCATTGCATAAGAACTATATTTTAAAATGCAGGTTAACCAACAGCACAGGGGGCCCACAAAACAGAAGACCGGGGGGCTACCTAGCAGTGGATAATTCACCGGATAGCTGATTCATCCCCCCAGCCAAAAACGTGCTAAAGCAAGATCTCCTGTCTGCAACTTTCTCGACTAGTGACTAGATGTGACTAGTCCTCGCAAAACTCCTTCCAAAACAACTTCCAACCCAACAAGCGTTATGAAAGTTTCAGCTGCATCTTCTCTTCTCCCACACCACTCAACCCCTCACCAGGCCAGGTTGCAAGAGCTGATCTCCTGGGCCCCAGAACTGTGCGGGATACTTGGCACCATTCCCAAGCACCACAGCACATCCCGGATGACGAGCCTTCACAGTTTGATAACCGTCCACAAACATGCACGACTGCGCACAAACAGAAGTTAAGAGCTCCTATCGACCGCTTTGGACGAACCCCACCAGGCAAAGGATCAAGTGGGTTTGGTGTAGTTGATTTGAGCACCGAACCATAGCAGCTATAGGTCTGTGCTCACTTGGTGTCATCCGGCGGCTTGCTACAAAGGGCACTCTACGGGTTGCAAGAATGGCAAACGTGAGATTCTCATAACGACTGCTTCTTGCCATGCATGTGGTCGACCCGAAGCCATTTCACGATTCTTCTGCCAAATTGGGGGGATGTGCTTGCAGAACATTCGCAATGAAAACAGGTCGAAGCAGTTGCAAGTTGATCAAATCACTCTTCCATCGAAATGTCGCTTTCTTGCATAGGTCAACTCGCTCGACCCCCCTACAAATGGGTGGTCACTCACACAAGGAGAAATCTCAGAAAATGGAGCACGCTCATTCACGCAGCACCCACCGAATGGAGGAGCATCATTGGAGCTCATTTACTGTGCAATACTTCGCTTGGGGAGTCAAGTCCTGTTCACCATCCCATCGTCAGATCAAAAATACAAAGAAGGACGCAACAAACGCAAACAAAAGACGCTTGGGTCTTGATCGTCTTCTTGGTCTTAAGATCCCTAGCATTGCAAGAACAAAATTGTCGCTTACAATATTTTATTGCATAACTTTCTTCATGCCTTCCTGGTGATCAGTGGCAACAGTTCGAAGCAGCGTTCAGCATCCGCATCGTTGGCGATGACGACACCCTCCGGGCACAGGCAAAATGCGAAGCCGACAGCCGTCGTCAGTTCAGAGTAGACACTTGCCCACTTGGTTTTGTGTCATGTATTTCGTTATTGCAGCTACAAATCCTCCTTTCACTCCTTTGGTAGCTTGCTCAACAGACATGCTCAACAAGCACATTGACCTACTATGTGACTTAATACACAAGGGAATTTAAACATCAGGAATCAGGACAAACACATCACACGCGACCGGCTCAGTTCCAATTGATATCATCCTTCACAGTTGAACCTACTATGGTGCACACTGTAAGATACTGCAAGAGTTATGGTGACTCACCTGCAAGCAGCGGATTCAGCCTCAAGGCTGTCAGATTCCTCCCGCATGAGCTCGATGCACTCCAAGGTCTTACTGCCTCGTCGGTTGATGTCTGTGTTCTGCCACAGCACCCTGAGCTCTTGTTTTGGGAAAGAAGCAGGTCATGTCTCTGAGCTTTGCGGTTTCTGGTGTTCTCCCACTTCATTCTCAAGCTATCTCAAACACCTGGTGCTGCACACAAGTCCAGGAGCAAATCAGTGGACTTCACCTGGCCACACCAGAACTGCCCATGTGATTGATTTGGATCGGCACCTCCAAAAGCAAGGGGGGGAACCAAAGATGCAGCCTCCTCGGCGCAAACAAGCGGCGCAAACCCAAATTGAAAGGACTGGTTGAAAGTACTTGAACACCGGCCAGCTTCTTGTGACGAGTTTCTTGAAACCGCAGGGCATAGGATTTATTCAACGCTGAGCACTGTGATCTCAGGGAATCATCGTAGTCTTTGGCGTCGCATCGCCAAGCGCCAGGAAACCACGGCAGCTCCGACCACCGGACGTCCATCGCGAAGGACACCTGCAGCTCCTGAAGGGCGAAGGCGGCGAATCACGCCTAGTAGGTTGGAGGCAATTACTAGCGACGCTACGAACGTAGCGTATGGCCTTACTAGTAGCAAGAAGGCTACTAGAGGCTCACAAAAAAATAACACAATGACGGTCATCGGTCCTGCCAATGTGGCTTTGTTCGGTTGAGGCGAACCACGACGGGCATCGGCTTCTGCAAGACTGTCATGAACTCATCCCAGCTGTCCTGCACTTAGAGCAGCCTTCGTAGAAGGTCAAATGACCTTCACCAGTGGAGAACCCTGAAGCTGCCCAAACACCCGCGCCTCTCCCACAACTTGCTGTTTTTGATAAAACTCTTCGAACAGACTGTTGGTTTCAACCGGCGCAGTGCGCCGGGCTGCAGTATTGCGCGCTGCACCGTGCCGCGCCATAGCTGGGAGATGCAACAGCCAAGTCTCAACTGTAAAAAACCTGAGAAGGAAAAGCGAAAACCAAGACTTGTTTCGCAAGCGGCTGGTTCTTGCCTCCCTTCTCAATAAGAATGCGTTCCTAGAAATAGATAACACACAAAGCACCGCATCCTTATCATTATTTTGGGGAGGGCGAGAATACAATGCCGTTAAGATTGTATTCGTGGGCGGCTCCTCCACCCTGTGCTTTGCTCACCTTGTCGAAAATGGCCATGTGCAACCCCCCTCCACATCCCTAACGCTCACTTTGTTCTGTGCCCACAACTCCAGCCCTCCAGCCTAGCTTTCAGAACATCATGAATTCTTGGATGTCACTGCTCGTTCCCACTAAGAAACAAAGCTATCTGCGCCACCCAGTTTCCACCTCTTGTCCTACTGACATCTACTGACTATGCCCTCCTCTTGTTAGGACTTCCTCGTGCTACACGTTGCAAGAACGCCAGGAATGATGTAAAGCTTTGAACTGCCTTCAGCACTCGTCGACAGTAGTCCGTCCAGAAAAAAATCCAAGAACATCAAACGCACTCAAACTTGCATCTGCTCCAAACTTCCATTTTTGCTCATCAGGCCAAGGTAGAACAAGTGTGACCAAGATGAGAACAGCAATTTATGGATAGTTTTGATTGCGACTATGATCGTCTTTGAGTTCTGTTTGTTTGGTTGCCACTTCTTAACTTGAGCTACACGCTCTTGATTTATTTGATTCTTTGTCTGAAGTAGTATGCCATTTGCCCAGCTGAATCATGTTGCTGGTTAATTCTGCTGAGCTATTCACAACAGGCCGCCAGTGACTTTCACCTTAGGAATTGGCACTTCAACATGCACCCTAAACATGTTCAAACAACTCACCTCTGAAGCTGTGAGCAAACCTAAGCTTCAACAGGTTGATTCTCACATTTGCCACCGAGAATCAGCTGACCCATCTTCAATGGACCTTGCGTGAACAGCTTGTGTCTGCCCGTTATCAAAAAAAGGAATGAGAAACCAGGAGCCCCGACTCTGGCGCACCTGAATTCAATCAGCGCCGCAAAATCTCACACTACATCACATCCTGGATCACCTTTCCACGTGAGAAATCGTAGACTTGTAGAAGCGATGGTCGCCCTACCTGCAGGTGACGTTCCACCTGTCCGGAACCACAAGCTGCTTGAAGGCCTC